CGGTGCTAACGTTTGTATTAGCAGTACGGCTGTTAGTGATTTTTGACGTGGAGCTAGGTACTGGTTCATTCCTTCTAATCGAAGCCCTGCCTGTTTGGTCTGCAGGAGTGTGCAACAGGGGAGGTAAGAGACCTTCTGATAGAACAGTGGTCTTAGCATGATTCGACGACGGAGGCGGTGGAAGAAGCATGCTTTTGAGGAGATTAGTTGCAGTCATAGTACGTGTTTGAGGAGGGGCGGAGGAGGGGATCGGCGCAGCGATACCACTGGAGCGACGATTTGGTTCGGCTTTCTTGAATACGTCGTCTGAAACTTGATCGACTCCCTGTCGTAGCTCCCGTACCAGCTGTACCCCTCGGCACTGATTGTCGATGTGGTTTTTGCTGTGCTTGATGAGGGACTGACGCTCATCCTTACCGGGGAGGGCATTGATAGATCCGGGGTCGCTAGCCAGGTCACCGTCGCTCATGTCCTCGAAGTCGATGGCGTCTTCGGCTTTGCCTGTCTGATCAACAACCTTGTCGCCGAACGAGCTCAGCTGGGTAAGGTTGGCTTCCGAGGCTCGCGGGTCGACGTTGACATTGAGCATCATCTTTATGTCTACTTCATCCCGGCGCTCCTGCTCGGCCCAGTCGATGTCCTTGAACGAGGAGACGTTATGGTCATGCATGGCGCCTCTCTTGAAGCGCCGAACCCTAGACGATACGACGGTGCCATGCGTGGTACTCTTGTTTTTGTCGCCGAGGCCGATCGTCTTGCCTGTGTCATGAGTAATGGTCTTTCCAGTCTTCGATCGGGTCTTGGCCCTAGTCTTGGCCTTGATTTCGGTGCCGTCAACGTGTTGCTCAATACTTGGAAGAGCGATATCACAAGAACGTAAGCCAAGAGGTATTTTTGTTTCCCCTGCCACCGCGACCTCATTGTCGTCATTCCTAGACTTATCTTGTGGACCTCTCTTACCAGTTGAAGTAGTTCCGTGGGCCGAACCGCTGACTCCCTGCTTCACCTGCGGTTCATTATTTATCAGTGACTTGAGGCGGGGTATGATGTTAGCTACGGGTCGAAGAGAACTATGATATGAGACATGACCAAGGCGAGCTTGACCGTCGGCAGATATCTCTTTCTCCGGATTGTTCCTCACTGGCACAGGACCTGTGCGTACGATCCTGCGACGGCGTTTGTGGATTTTCAAACCGGACCTTTTCAGCAGAGAACTATTGTGAATACCAGTCCGATTTCGGGTTCCAGGACGGGAGAGTTGGATGTCAGGAAGAATTGAATGCTTCGGCTGGGGTGGTTCTGCTGGCCTGGTGCTACTATTCTGGTCGGCGGTAGGACTTGCGGGGGATGATGCAATATTGCCACCGTCGTCTTCTTTTTCCTTCTTTATCTTCGTTTGGACTTGTTTGCTAGTATTGGAGGGGTTTTGTGGCTGAAAACTTGGGTTAGTTGCCATCTGGAGCAATTTTGATGCACCACTCACATTGCCCCCAGAGTTGTGCCCCTTGTCACCATCTTGCTCGCCATCCGAGACCCCCACGAGCCAGTCGAATGGCTGTTGAGGATCAGGTGTGATACCTGCTAGCTTTAGAGCCTCTATAAGTAGGCGCTGTTAGATGAAAGCTCGTTTTAATTCGAACGCGATTGGGTGCGTTTTACCTCGAGATCGATATTTAAACCGAAAAATAGCAATAGGTCCGTCATCGTCGGCAAGGGTCGAGCATCTGATGTACTTGGGCTTCACTGCAGGTTGCGTACGAGTGTACCTAAGCAGTAGATTAACTCAAGCTGGGTCAGGGGATTGCCGAGTTAGCCTACTTAATTCCATGAGACTTGGCTTTTCCTTGTACTGCTTCTCGGGATATGGCAAAGCCTTTGGGATGGTCACCACCAGGCACGGAGATTGGACCATCTTCTCGTACTGTAGCGCGATGCACCTTGACCTCTATTGTGCCGAGTCGCTCTATTTTCTCCATGTCCGATTCGTGCTGCTCATCCGTAGCGTCATCGGCTATCATCTATCGTTAGTAGTATGTATGCATGCACATACATGATAAGTACTTACTTTTGATGATGCTTGAGAAGGCAAATTCCTGAATAACGTAACGTGCAGAGTCGTCAGGACTCTTCACTACACGGTAACTGATATCCCGCTCCCACTCCTCTTGCTTAGTATCTCCCTGTCTGCATAGCTCACTTTTTGCCCAAATACCATCGATAACTGCTGCAAAGTTGAGGATGTGGCCTTTGAAACCCCACGAATACTCATCGGTTGCCTTGAGGTGGATCCTGAAGGGCTCGTTATCTTTGCATTCGATGTATTTTGTGACCACTCGTGGGCGCTTATGGGTTCCGCCTGTTTCTGATGGATCGGCGTATTCCTTTGCAGTGCGGCCACCGGTGAAGATGGTGACTTCCAAGCCCGGCAAACCTTGGATAATCGCCATTATCAGAGCTCAGCTTAGAAGTAACTATGCATCGGCTTGAAATATTAGTGTATTTAGTTAGTATAACCCAGAGCCTATAACCGTGAAGCCTAATGTAGCTTCTTATGAGGGTAGTCGCAACTTAGTGTGCGAGTCGGGTAGCTGTGCGTTGGCAAGAGCGGTCAGCTGTATTGCAGAGTTGAGAATGGAGATCGTGCAGGTGTATGTGCATTTATACCTTGACGTTGGGCTTTTGGTTGGAAATCATGCATTAGACATGAGGTGAGAAAAAGTACCTCTGAGGTGTAAGGATACAGCAGAACAGAATGTCATGCAGAGGGCAAGGACCAGATGGCACTTCCGAAAGGAGCATGCACCGGCTTCTTCAAGATTAAAGACACCAAAAATTATTCTCGACCTGTTAGTTTGGTGTGGGTGGATTTGGAGAACTGTGGGAAAGACCATAGATAAGTGCTTACGTAGGAACTTTTGAATCCAGTACTAGGTGAATTACGTGCTTGCTGCAATAGAAACGTGACAATGTCCACGATGCTGAAGAACTAATGTTGATCGCAGGAGATGTCTCAATATCCTGATTACTCGAAGAACACCATGATGAGTTGAACGGTTGTTATCTAAAGGAAATAGGGGCTAGAGAGATTCCGGCGCAAACGATCATCACACATTAAACGACTAACTCCTGTGACAGCGACAACCTAAAATAGATTACATTGAGATCGGCTACGTTTGTGACGAAGCAGTGAAGTTCGGAAGCCGCACACTTCAGATCCCTTCTCTTTGGTGGACAAGACTCTAGGATCCTAAGTTCAAAGTTCACTATGGGTTATTTCTTTTTCATGACTTCAACCTCAAAAAATCCACAGGATCTTTAAAATGAAGCAAGAGGGCCTAGTATATTGCCACCATAAGTGTAGCCGTGACACAATCGGTATACGCGATTCTTGGCAGCGTACCCTAGGAAAGCCGGCACGGATATCGTAGGAATCCAACTTCACTATTCTTACTGTTGATGTGGATCTAGATCCAGTCTTCGCCTGCGGGCTTGCCTTCACCCGGAGTCTGAAAAGACTGTCCGTCGGGAATCATTCGATGCAGCGTCAGCAGACTTCCATACTCTGGCGCGTGGTGGAAAAGAGATGGGCTATTCAGTCCGAAAGACGTGACCCGGCTCCATCAAATTTACGGGATCCGGGAAAAGATACCCCCTCCAAACACGGGATCGTCCTTAACACTCCCAGCTACACAGGGCCGACAGCATTAACACAATCCGATATGGCAACCGGCATCCAGCAAACCGTATTTAGCATCGGAGCCGAGACCGCCTTCGATTGCCCAGCCCAATGGATCGCCGAGAGGTTGGCGTAGAAATAGGTACTGGTACTCGGCAACGCCCTCGTACCCCGGCGCTGATCTTAGGGCGTACTTCACCGTTGGTATTGACGCTACCAACCGAGGACTTGCGACACGCGATGCAGAAGACCGAGGGGAGCTTTGTCATTAGCAACACACCTGTCATCCCCGTTGCGGACGCCGTGGGACACTACGAGAACGCGCAATCGTCAGCGGAAACAACACCGTTATTAACTGGCCCCAGTTGGCGCACAACAATCCCATTTACATGAATTTGAACACTACCGGGAGAGATGTTAGCTTCGTCACTTTCGCGGGTACGCCAGCCTACTATGTTCGCTCCGGGCCTGGCGTCATGAATAATTTCGGCCTACCCAACTTCTCTCGCGGGAAGAGTTCCGTTGTAGGATATGAAGCTGATTAGGTAGATAGTACAACGCATAATTGTGAGTTCATGTTGTTGGCAGGGGCTTTCGCTTCAAAATTTCCTACCACGGTATGAAAGCACAATTCTAGTAATCCCTTATGCCCATCTTCGTCTGCTGCGCAATATTCTTCGGGTGCCATTCGCTCAAAAAGGTCGTTTAATCTAACACGCACCCGCCACTAGGCTGTGGTACTTACATATTTTCTGGTTTATTTGCTGCTACTATAGGCGGCAAGTCTATGCGCCAGGCCTAGGGAAACATCCTGGAACGGTTTATTTTCGACTTATGACCTTCGTTGACGGGTAAAAGAGCTTGAATCCATGAAGCTCACTTGAAATATCTTCCGCGCCAACCCAGTCTTCGAGCCCTGAGGGGTAAAGTAGGCGTGATCGATGATGTAAAGATGAATACCAGTCTTAGTGTTGTTCAAGGATCTGGTGGGTGATCCTCAGGCTAGGATCGGAGTATTCTTTACCAATGTTGTCAGACTATACCACGTGGGCTATACCCTACCTACCCTTTCCGTGAATAGTTGTGTGAAATAATGGATTCGAATTGTATGAGATTTTTATTACGCCGTAGTAAAATGGTCGGTCAACCAGGACGGTATGCAAGGGGGGGAGAGGGAGAGAGAAAGAAAAAGGAGGGGAAAAAAGGAGAAAAAATTTTTTTTTTTTGGGTTGCTGCTCCAGTTGAACTGGGAGGCATCAGGAATTGAGCCCGATGCGGGGGTCGAACCTTCAGAGGTTGTCAGTATTTTCGTCTCACGTTCATGCGTCGAATACGGTACTCACCCGCAACCTTGAGATTAAGAGTCTCACGCTCTACCGATTGAGCTAACCGGGCGCTGATTCGTTGGTGAGAAAACGGTGCCGAATAATAGTTTATTATTCCATTGGGATAGATGTGGGTTGAATTTCGGATAGCGAAAGAATGGGGCTTCGTTTAATATGTAGGTACGGGTAGTGGCACTACGGTAGCGCTATGGAACTTGAAACGGGTTGTACTTAGTATAGCTCTTTGGCAGACGAGGCATACATAGACATGCTTGCCTTACTATTCAGTTCTTGGGTTGGTCCAATCCTGGAGATTCAATAGTAAAGTCTGGTTTAATTGAATTACATGGGATCCCTAGGTCGTGCGACTTGCAAAACAGATTGTGACCCAGTGGTAATGAATGAATGAATGCTAGTAATGTTTTCTCATAGATTTGTTTAATAAAAGTCGTCCGTATATAAAAGACGCCGAGGCTAAGCGACCATTCGAGACCCTAAAAGACTTATTAGATGTATTAAATACCATGTCGAGGACAAAGGCGTATACTCGGTACCGGAGGCTCGTTACCTGTGGGCAGGATTCGTTAGTCTAGTTACCACGCGTAGCGAAAGCATGGAAGATCCGGGGTGTCCAGGCTAGTGGAAATAATAGGCTCCTCTTCTGTCACAGTTTTAGTCCTATACGAAATTGATGGTTTTCTTGTCAAGCTGCGCCAGCTCAATTTTATTGTTGAGTAGCAGGCACTATAGTGGTAAGTAGGATAACTTATCTACCTACGTACTTAGTAATGTGAGGTTACTGGCTTAGCGCGGAGGCGGCTCTTAACATATTTTTGCGGATTACCTGTAAAGTACTACGTGAGGCAGACAGGCATGGGTTACAGATATATTATGTACTTGGTCTGTGAGTAGCCCGTCGGATTCGACGGGAGCTCCCGAGTATACTGTAATAGAAGTCCAGGGTATGTGATGGTACTGTACACGAAAGATAGGTAGATGACGCCAAGCCAGCTTAGCCACGCCTACCGAGCCGACAGCGACAGTGTTATCATCTAAATTTGAATCGCCCTCTTACCAGCTCCTCCAGCACAGTTCCATCAGCTGAAAGAGGGCGCCATGTCCTAGTAATTCCCGTCCACGCTTGCCGTCAGCCCACAGGGGAATAAAGGGCCGACCAGTCATAAGCGAATCCTACTGTGGGTGTGAAGCTTGAGCCGCAACGATGTATACCACCTACTGTATGTAGCAATTTTCTGACCGATATAACGTCAATTAATTGGCGGGTAGCGCTTCGATTTGACCTTCATGACGATGGCGTGCAGCTCTTTTATAGTAGTCCGAACATTCGTTGGCGTGGTGTTGTTTTTGACTTCTGACTAGGACCTGCCTTGCTGACTGTTTTCTAGAAGCGTACCCTGTCGAAGGATCGCCTCAGGGGGGCGACTAGTACTAATCATAGTAGCAACCTTGACAAATCATCGTTGACATGTGGTAGAATAAACTGAGAATGAGTCCGTAATCAGGCAAGACAAATTCTATTAAACTTGCTAATCTGGGTGTGAAAAGTGGAAATTGAGAGGTTTGCCTGTTTGTATGTATCTTGCTTTCGCTGTGCTGTCGTGGTTAACCCATCTTCTATATTATTTGCGATCACATATTGATCGTCGTCGACTCGGGACTACAATGTGGCAGAATCCAAAACAAGCTGCGAACAAAGCGGACGGATCTGGGACTAACACGATGAGACGATTACATCCAAACGGGATGGCGGCGGCGGCGGCGGCGGCGCGCCCGGTTAGTTGGAGTGCCATTCCAGCCGACGACCCTTCAGCGCACGAACAAATGATCAAGTTCGTCTCTGAGTCGATTGTGTGCGATATCCAAGGCAATATTAGCAGTGGGTTCATGAGACAAGTGCAGGCTTCTAAGAAGAGTGCTATGTCCCCTCATGACAAGGCAGAACGGATGCGCATAGTTCGCAATATGCGGACGACGCTGGAGCGCCTCACGGAGGAGTTGGGTCAGAAGTTTTTTGAGGAATTCCGCCAGCGGCCGCCAGTTGGCCGTTGGTACGACTCATGGTTATTCAACGAGACACCGCAATTCCTGCGTTGGGAACAGGAATGGGCCCTCACGCCCGAGGAAAGTCTGGCGACGGTCGACGCGCCGAGCGTTGGCGGCAGTATTGACGGGCGTGTATTTGGTTCCGAAACCACCCCTGAAGTTAGAGTGGAATTTGAAGAGGACCTCGAAGAGTTTGAAGATTCCCAATCATTGGCACCGATTCCCGAATACAGACCGGATGCGTCGGTAACTGAGGTAAGCTAGGCACGCCTGTCCTTTCGTATCGACACGAGGCCTCATACACTCTGCCAAGCTACGGTTCAACTAATACAAATTCTAATAGAAAAAAACGGACGGCCCTGCGCCATCCTCTACTGGCTGTCAGTGCGAAAATGGGCATGAGGGTTCCGACTCGGAGCATACCCATCTCTGCCAGAACTGTGCCTGCAGCAATCAGGGTTATGGCTGCATTGCCTCTTGCGGCTGTGACGAGACATGCCAAAATAACTTCAACAACATCGCGCTCGACAAAATCTTCGGCACTGATGTTAAACTTGACTCCTGTTTCATCACCTACTTGCAAAAGCATAAACAGAACGAAAACCTCACGCTCGATTATCTCTTTGATCATCTTCTGACAGGTCTAGAGTATGTGCCGGATGGCAACGATGCGGCAATCGACGCGTGGCGGGTGAAATGGGAAACGAGTTATAGTGGGCCAGACCCGGAAGCCCAGACAGAAAAGCTCCAACGCGAGCTGCTCCGTCTCGGCCTCGGACTCGGCGATAAGAACGGGGAGTGGTTCTTCTCGTTCTGCTACAGCAATAGTGAGCGGATCGGAAGCTGGCAGCAGAGCCACCAGATATGGCACTGCAGAGACTGCGGAAGCTGCAGTGAACGGCAAGAGTGGCACTGCGGGAAATGCAACAAATGCACCTACGGGACGGAAATCCCCTGTGGTGGATGTGGAGGAGTCTCGAATTCGTACCACGAAGAACACAACAAGAACAACAGGGGTAACTGGATTTAAGCTGCCGCTGTCGAAGTCGCCCTGGCTTTGTTTGTGAGGATTGAGGGAGCGGGAACAGAAATGAGGACACGATCGTCTGGGGACATTGGATGTTGAGGGAGTGCGGCCCGGAAGTCCCGGACAACACGACGGTTGGGTATTGGAGTTCGATGCTCAGGAACAGGCACATGGCTACGAGGCTTGTATACTGGTATATCATAGCGCATGGCCCACACTCTTTGATACATTTTCCTTATACGCGTCAATTATGGATTTGAGGCGGGTGGACTCGGGAAGCCGAGGGTATTTGTATAACCTAGGTGCATAGGGGAGGAGTCTTTGTCAAATAGCTCTTGCTGTTGGAGGATGGAAATGTAGATAAACACTTTTCTTTTTACGAATGTCTTGCCTTGCCTTAACTCAAGTGAAAACCCAGGTCAAGTGCCTAATCCGGGTAGATGCATATGTAAGTGTGTGAAGCAGCTTCTACCGCATGTTGGCGTCTTGAAAGCGAGGTCGTTACGGATTTTCGACTTAGTGAGATATAGAGTATAAATGCCCAGGTGCCCAGATGGTTGTAAATTGAAGCAGTCGACGACATATTCCCCATGGTCACTTCCAGGGTGAGGATGAGCAGATCGATCTCTTAACGTTAGCATGTGGGGGCGGTACCATTGACCGGGTGCTGTACCTTACTGCTAGGTACCTAAAGTGTGGGTGGTACCAGCCCCCCCATCAACGTCTGTACTGTATGCAGTGTATCGTACCACAGTTCTCTACGCAGCACTTAGCAGACAGGTACTCCTTCCCGGATGGGTAACCGTAATTGAATGGAGCTATGCTGTAGTCTGGCCTCGTAAGCACCATACAACTTGAAGTATTACTACTACCCGTAGACGTCGGCCTGATCCTTGCGGATACCATAGTCGCATCTGTCTCTTATGAATTGACATAAATCCGCATTGCCATTTGAAAAGTTCCAACTGTGCAGCCCCTGGCTAATAAATAAATAACTACATACACTTTAGTACAAGGCGGTGCCTTTAACAGACATCGAATAGGAGGCGGCTATCACGGCTCATGCTCGAGTCTGGAACCCTCCGACCTCGACCCACGACCAGCACCACGACCTATCTTGGACTAGATACGCAGAGCTTACATACCTACAGTACTGCATCACTCTGGGAGCTCTCTCCACGACTACGCCACCACCATTACCATCACGACCACCGTCACGACCGCGCCTACGTCCACATCCACGCCCACGTCCACCGCGCGTTCTGGTTGAGCGCCATCGTGCTGCGAGCGCGGACCCTTTCTTCCAGGCTCCATCGTCGACGACAATGTGGTCGCGCTCATGATTCCTCTCCTTCGTCTGAAGGAGTGCCACCATGCCGCCCGAAGGACGCTCCACCGACATCCGCGTCTTCATAAAATGGGATGACCAGACCGTCTTTGCCGGCGAGGAGATCCGGTGCCAGATCACCTTCAAGAATGTCGCCCCTGGTCCCAGCCAGCTCACCTCAAACCCACGCCAGCCCTCGCAGTCGTCCCCGAGATCCGATCGAACGAGACAGCCTTCACCGTTGCTGAGCCCTCGAGGGGGGTTAGCATCCAGCAACGGCTTGACACCGCCTGGGTCTGCGCGTAGCCACCGCTCAACGCTGTCTCTCAACGTGCCCTCTACGAGCTCGCGCCTGAGGAACAGCATCCAGCAATGGCCTCCTCCCCCCCAGCCGCCCCCGCCCACGCAGGTATCTGGCCACGCCCATAAACGGTCCCTCTCCATCGTGTCCATGGGCTCCAATGCCACCGTCGATGACCAAGCGTATGGCAATGGCTCGCAAACGAGACCCCAGCGCCCTGGTCGCGGCCATGGCCGATCTGCCAGTCTCCAAATCATACCGCGCAACATCACGACGACGAACGGGCCTCAGTCGGCGGCACTACCACGTCGGTCTCCCTTTAGCTCTGACGCCTCTCCTCTGTTTAACAAC